CCTAAACATAATACAATTGGTGAAATGTTTAAAACCTTGTTTAGGATGATTAGAACCTACATCAATATAACAGGGACGTTGGTTGCTTTTCCTAAAGCGTGATACAGTGCCGTTGCTCAAGTTAAGAGTAAAGACTAAATAATCACTGATTTTTTTTTTTTTAAATTGGTTTGGATACCCAACTTAAATCTTATTAAACAGTCAATGTAACTTTTTTTTTCATAAAATGCCGCGTGGACCTACCCTCTTTACCCAGTAACACTTTGAAGATCCGTTAGGTGAAACCTTGGTAGGTAGGTTCTGTCTCACTAGAGATATATATATATATATATATATATATATATATATATATATATATATATATATTCTCTTTTAGGGGAATAAATGTTGGAACAAACTGGCTTACGATTAAAATCTAAAATCGTCTTTAATCAAATTTAGAAAATCGATTTGTAAAAATGAATAATAATCAAACCTGAAGAATTGGTTTGATTTTCCAAATTTTAAGTTACAGCACAACAGATAAAAATTGAATTCACTATCACAAGGGCTTGCGTGAGACTAACTGAAACTCCACAACAGGTGTTTTACACAATAGTAACTGTACATGAGATAGATACAGACCAAAGATGAATATGTTAATAATGGTGTATTGCTGCCAAATCTCCGTCTGGCCCTGATAGGGTTTATGATCGTTTACGCGTTTTGGGGTTTTTTTTTGTTTTGTTTTTTTGGTTTCTTTTTTCGCCAAAAAAACAAACTATAGCCCTTTTTCCACTTTGCAGCCTCTTTTTCACATACGCACATGTCACAAGCCTCTCGCTGTTTCCATAGCGAATGTTCAGACGAGCGCTTCATTCTTTAGTTCCACCAGTTCAGACCTTTACAGCTAGGACCCGCCATGCTACTTCCACGGCGTTGAATCACTTTCATTTCCCCCATATTCCAAATATAACGAGTAAATGTCATTCCGCTCTTTTCCTAGGAACTACTATTTTATGGAATAGACGCCCATGTGGATGCTTCCCTCGTCACTACAATCTTGACCTCTTCAAGCCAAGAATCAGTCGTTATCTATCATAACTATTTCAAAAACAACTCTCTCGCTTGAATGAGTCTTGAGCCTTGTATTAGGTTAAATTTAGTATAAAAAGACTCTTGATATGATTGTGATAGAAAGTATAAGGCTGAAATAGAAACAAACAAAATTATATGTAGACTTGTATATAACGAAGATAGAAAAATAACTCAATTTTCCTCCCAACAAATCAAGCGCAATTAAGATTTCTTTTTCATGTTACTTCGACCATCACGACTAATAAGTTCGAATGGACAAATTTTGTTTTCAAAACATTTAGGCCTTTTTTTTTTCTTTTCTTTTTAAGGAAACCTTATCTTATGCTTTTCTCTTTCTGTTTACCAGTCTGGAAATGTTTCGCTGGATAATGACTGGAATTATCATTTGTTTTTCTTTTTGCTCAATTAATTTGTGAGTCAAACTATAAGAAGCAATCGAACACGTTGTATTCGCTGAATTTTCTGATCAAGTGCTGATTACTTTTTTGCAATTCAACGAATCTAGAAAATTAATGAGAAAATGACGTTAAGAATTAACCGTAAGTTAAAACCCCTCCCAGCTCTCTATCGATATTGTTGTAACTCACTACTATCAGTTATAATATTATGTCTTACATAGGCTACTTACCGTGACGTCATTAGAATTCTCTCTGACTCCCACGGACTAGTATTTACCGGTCGCCCCACTGCGGACTAAATGCGACACAAGGTCAAGTTTACTGTGGGGAACCCGAACATTTCCACCCGGTCTATGGTCAAAATTGACTACCTTCCCAAACGAGACTCTGCCTGTAGGCATAGCTTCGTCTGGGTTCCTCTCTACGGGCAGGGAGTTCGACAAGTATGTCGCGAGCCTGACAGCGGACTGACTAACTTCTTCTGACTTACTTTGAGGTCTTTATTTAAGGCGTCTTGCCTAGTTCATTTGTGTTACTGGGGGTGTCTTATTTACTACACAACAGATATATAACGTAGGTAAGTTTCTGTCTGAATTTCTGAGATGGGAGTGATCATTTACATATTTATATGCGGTCTATTGTCCTCAACTTTGTTTTTATAACAACTTTTTGGTCGTTGTGCCCTCCGTAATGCGTTATTGGGCGGAGGAAAGAGAATAAGAAGAGTTTTGTTAGAAGAAAGGATAATAAAAGAACAGGTTTCAGGAAAACAGAATATGGCGATGGACATTGCATTGAAATTTTTGAATATTGTAGCTGGTACGGAAGCAAAACAAACTGGTAGGCGAGAAGTGTCAGAAAAGAATCTATTAAAATAAAACTTATGATTACATCTGGCTATTTCAATAGTAAAATGAATCGACCTAGTTGCCAATCTCGTAATACGCTCAAATTCATGAGGTAACAAGGAGGAGAGCTCATTAGAAGAACTGCTATGAAAATATTTATAGAAAAGAAAAACAGATGAAAGCTACGACACGACGATTGGAAAAAAGACTGAAGTTGAAATACCATGTCAGCACTGTTAATATTGCAGACCCTTCTTTGAGTTTTGTCAAGAATCTCGAGATATATATGCCTAGACATGCTGAGAAGAACAAAATCCATCTAACACTATAAATTAAATAGTGTTTAGTTTGAAATTCCGTGAAGGTTACTCGGATCGATACGCACCTGATGAAAACCAAAGTCATAAGGGCCAAAGCATTGTCATAGTAATAAGAACAAAGATGGTGGTAAATAATGTTTGTAAGTGTATAATGATTTTCTAAGCGCGGCTTAGATGTGGCACAAAGCCGAAAGTATGGGGCACCTAGTGAGGATCGATTCCGTAAGTGTATATATTATACGTATAATGGTCTTATTCTTCAGTGACATTTACATTAGTGTGACCGCAAAAAAACTATTTTATTTTTTGTTTTCAAAGACTGACATTCAGAGTGAGTGAGGAAAATTGGCAAAACAAAAAGTAAATGAGGAAAGAAGCGGTGAAGTGAGTGGCAAGTGATTTAAAAAAAAATGCTGATATACTAATTCCGTCACCATTAACTTACAACATTGTATATTTTCAGAATATAATTCGTCACTCTCTCTATAAGTCCGTAGCCTGGAACGTGAGGAATTTCCACTCGAATTAAGTTGAAAAATCCGTATTCGTTCTATAAAACTTTTCTCATCATTTAGGTGCAAATTATTTATATACCTATGTATATATGTGCGTATGTTTATAAATATTTAATTTATTGCGCTACGCTGAATTTTCTCTTATCCTCTTCTTTCAAAACGTAGGTAATTCATGGCTCTCTATAGATTCATTATGGCTTTTTGAGAAAGCGAGTGGAGTAGTTATCCGTTGTTTTCTCTACAGTCTGAAATTCAGATTTTTACATCTCTTAGACTGGTTACCTCCGAAGACTAGAGGGCCACAGTCTACCCTACGATTTAACCCATAGTTGGAGGAAAAGAGGGATTTATACCTTTTCTCAAGAGCATTAGTGCAACAGAGAAGGCTTGAATTTGAACGATGTGGTTGTACTAACACACTCACAAGTCATTGTAGCCGAGAATTTGATCATTCTGGGCTTGTTTAACTACTGATCACCCCCAGTTTATGCGTCCTCCTTCTCCCAGATGATGTAACTATAATCTGCTCAGAATTGTTACAGGATAAACCACGGATGTGGGTGTCTGCAACAGGAATTAGCTGGTTTCCCTTAGCTTAATTTGTAGGACTTATATCTGGAAAAAAAAACATTATTTTCAAAAAGATTTTTAGTGCAATATTCACTCGCAAAAATTATTCTTACAATCCAGGCTTTAAATAACATACAATGGGTTGACAAACAGTTAAAACACAAATCAACTAATAATTTTCATTTTATTTACATTATTTACATTTTTTCGGACTGTTGTCTGCATCTTTGTTGTCATATTCACGACGCTTTGGTCGTTGTACGCTCCGACCTTCTTCAGATGATTGAAATTTTGAACCGAACTTTTTATTTCGTCCACCAGAGTAGATTGTGCCATGTCTCTTCCGGATGTCTCAGTTATCCCCCTTTAACTCAACTGTCAAAGTTTTTGTTCACCTATGCTGTAGCCAGGTATCGAATTCACAACTTTTTGGGTCAAGTCACTGGATTCAACCAACGATTTATCCACTAGGCCATGTGACCTTTCGGTTCAAAATTCGAATCACTTGAAGAAGGCCGGCGAGTGCAACGGCCGAAACGTCTTGAAAATGGTAACAAAGACGAACAAGGCAAATAGTGTAAATAATTACAAAATCTCATCTCAGAAATATAGACAGAATTTTAATTTTGTCTCATACAAGTTCATATTGATGAGTCAATCAATAAGAATCCACTGAAAATAACCTCTTACCTATCTTACTATTGAAGGGTTATAACTTTATCTCTGTGTACTTTTGAATGTATGCTTTTCTACGTGTCATTTTATACTTATCAAATAACTAAAGAGCTGGTTCTATCTTGGCACATTCAATGCAAACATTGTTAAGTCACTTTCTTCATCGAGATTTATTGTTCAATCAATATTAGAAAAAATTATACAAATCTAATGAAAAGTATAAACAAAAAAAAAACTTCAGCCTTAAACGCAGACAACTTTGCCTCATTACAAAATAGAAGTCTACAATATTGCAGTCTCCTCTTCAGATTAAGTTTTGTTCGAGTTTTCACGGACAATAACGGCGCATACAAATCCCCAAAAGAAATAATTTTGTTTGCAAACATTGTATCGGATGTCACGAGTGTGTTAAAACATTTAAATAAGTTATTAATATGTTTGCTCTTTAGAATGGCAATTTGTTAAAAATCTAACAACAATTCTTCAGATTTAAACTTTTAGTGCCAGACTTTACTGATAACCATTGTCGAAGATCAGAATCTCTTCAGCTCTCCAGCATTTTGGTTAATATTCTTGCTGACTTCAACTTATTCCGGCTTACGGCCATATCATGTTGAAACAACAGTTCTCATACGATCACTGAAGTTAAGCAACATAGAACCTGGTCAGTACCTAGATGGGTGACCGCTCTAAGCTTGAATGCGCGAGTGGTTAACGGTTCAGAATTAGAAGTTAGAGCCGAGTTCCAATTCTAGTCGCATTCGTCATATTCCGTTACGTGCAAATATCTTGAAGGGTATGAATTTGCATCTCTTCCCCCCCCAGCTATAGTTTAATCATTAAAACTTGTATCACTAAATCACTGTTATCGCCCAAAAGAAATTTCAATCTAATCTGGCTTTAAATAACCTGTAAAGAGTTGATAAGCCGTAGAAAACGAATCAAATAAACACACACGAACATATCACGTTCAAATACCGAACATGATCATCGAAGTCAAGTAGCTGATCAGTACCTAAATGGGTGACCGCTTGGGATAACTAGGAGTTGTAAGCTTTGATGAGCGGATGGTGTAATGGATAACGGCTCAGAATTAGAAATCGGAGAGCCGAGTTCAAATTCCAGTTAGATTCGTTATATTCACTTTCACGCAAATAACCTTAGGAATGGTATGAATCCACCTCTTCTCCCCTCAGCTATGGGTTAATTAGTAGGAATTGTATCAGTAAATCATTATGTGCAAAAACATTCTTACAGCTTAAAAATATTTTCTGGCTTTAAATAGCCTGCAAAAGATCAAATCAAATAAAAATCCAGTTCTTCCACTGTGCAATGATGTTGGTGGACGTTTCCAGTCATTATTAGTTTGATCTTCACTTTCATCCTCTACATTTGTCATGCATCTCTGATAAGGTCTTATTTCTGTTTCCAACTTTCGCTTTCGTCAAAAATTATCCGCACTTTCCGCATAACATATCTTTAGATTTGTCACATAGACTTCTGCCCATGTGTGTTTATAGTTGGTACTCTTGTGGTCATGATCGAAGTTTGAGATTAATCGCGCCTTTTTTTTTTTTTTTTTTTACGCTGGCAGTGTGCAGCAAGTAGGGTACCAACTATAAGCACGCATGAGCAGAAGGCAGTGTGACAAACCTCAATATATGTTATGGCGAAAGGGCGGATAATTTTTTACTTACCCTTGAACATACTAAACGCTTTTTAAACAGAGAGTGGCAGTTAACTGCTTGTATTTAAATTTTATTTGGATTTATATTCGACAGTTTAACTTGAAAACAAATCTATGGTGCTTCCCCAAAATTCTGTGAATTTAAACATCGCGCGCAAACCGAATGTAGTATGTACTTTTGCCACTACCGTTTGGGAGCAGTACCCTAAAACTCTGTTCCCAACATGTCCTTCGAAGTAGTACTTTGAAAACTACAATCTATCTTTCTCTGTCAAATTCGCCGAAGTTCTTTGTAGCACAACGTGTGTGTATATGTTTTTAAGAGTTTAGATGATATGACAGTTACTCCGTAACTAAAATATTTAAAGGACACCGCAAGGATAAGTTTAAATGTCTTTATGCTATTTTATCTTATAGTTGATTATTATTCGTATGCCAAACGTTAATTTCATTTGTATTTCCGTAAATTCCACAATACTCAAGTTTATGATTATGTAAAACACATTTTTCCAGTTAAGTCTCCCTTCTATCTTGAGGGTCGGCTTCCCAAGTCGATCAACCATAGGTTAATAGGATTTTGCCATAAAGCTTATATTTCTATGATCCAGTTTTTAAAAAAAAATCCAGTTTAGCCTTTCGGGTTGTATTTCTTTATATATTGTCACGGAAATCACAAAACATTAAGGGGGGGGGAGCTCATGAATAAAGTAAATAGGCCTTGCGCAAGTTTTTTCTTTTTTTTTTTTTCTTTTTTTCTTATAGAAACACCACTATTAAAAAGTAAGAAATTCTAAAAATCTCCAAAAACAACCTTTTTTAAATCGGAGTATTTGTATCTTGCTGTCTGGCTGCTTTCTTGGGTTACGAGAGACTCTGGATGCTAACATGTAGGCTATTACGAACAGCAGGATCAGCGTATCTTCGACTGCTTCATGGGAATCTTTACGAAGGCCCTATTTTCTTTGACATTCAAAACAAAAAAAAGAAACGAAATTCTGTTTATTTATCTTTGAGTAAATGTTATATATGCAACCCCCATACATGTTCCGCTTCGCCAAACATCGACCATAGAACATTTCCAGAATCACAATCTTATATAAGTTTTAAAGATATTTGACTCTATTAGCCTAAAACATTTTGCACGAGACTGTAACAACTAGTTTCCTCCTTTGTCGACCCTTGCCTTTGTTTACACGCTGATTCCCAAAAATACTGCTTGTAATGATTAGCGAGGAAAACCCTATGTTATATTTGGTTCGTGCACATTCCTCAAATTTTTTAAGTCTTCTTCTCTCTGCCATAGGTGATCATTACTCTCCACAATTTCCTATCCTTTGTAGCTTTTAGTAAATTTTGTCTTTTCGCTATCTCGCCTAGCAAGCTCATTAAGTATATTATTCACTGCTTTCCTCTGTCCCTCTTGCTTTTAATATGTCCTGTCAGTATCCAATTTTCTAAGCCCTCTTTCCTCATTATGTTCGCTAGAAATTTCAACTCTCTCTTTTTGATGTTAAGTACAAGTACTTTTTGTTTCCATATTTTTCTATAACTTCGTCATTGCTCAAATGTTCAATCCATAGCAACCTTCTGTAGGACCACATTTCTCGTAATACACCGTATATATATGTAAGGCTGATGCAATGAGCAAACTTTGTATTAAAATATGCAGGTGCAACAAGTATCCATTTAAGAACACCTGGACAAGATAGTCCTTTTTTTCTCGTTCTCCTTTACTAACTATTAATTGTAAGAAGAGAGACTATATTGTTCTCAGCAAAGATAAAAAACGAAAGATTCGAGTTACAAATTGGAGAATTCAATGTCAAACAAATATAGAAATTTAAATATCCAGTAAGTGTTTTAACATATGACAGAAAATGTGACATCGAAATCCAAAAGAGCATTTGTGTCTTCCAAAATCTAAAAGTACTGAGAAACTGGAAATTTTAATTAGAAGCAAAAAAAAAAAAAACACATTTCAGGGTTCTGTATATCAGACCTACAAGACGGCAGTGAATATTGAACAGTTTATTCGCACATGAAGAAGAGACTTGAGGCAATAGTGTTCTACAGAAGGATGCTAAGAATATCATGGACAGTATGTGAGCAACGTGGAATTTTTAAGGAAAATGGAAACAAAAAGAAATATTACACATCAAATCAGAAAGTTAGAGTGGCACGTCACGATAAAAGAAGACCTACAAAATTTGCTACTTACAGGACACATTTTGAAGGCAAAAGGGACAAAGGACAGTAGCAAGTAACTTGTGTAAATGGCTGACAAAACATGGAATGGTAAGATAGGAAAAATACAAGCATTACTCAAAGCTACAAAAGAAAGGAAGTTATAGAAAATCCCTTCTCTCATATGTCCTGGAGGGATACAGCGTATAAAAGAACCTACTAGTATGCTGCTATACTAATGCAGTGAGTAGTCTTCTTATACAATAGGCAAACGTGTGTGTATGTGTGTATGTTTCTGTGTATGTGTTTACTTGCCAAACACAACTTCTACATAGTACAGCTTATCTTCAAAGTAAATGAAAATAAAAAAATATAATCCATTCTCTTGTCACTGTTACCAATAAAATGACAGCAGCAGAACAGAGAAAAAAATTACATTTTTTTGACAGTGTGCTGATTTCAGCAAGAATTCCCAAAGCAAATGTGTAAACATCACAAAACATTTGAACTCTGTAAATAACTTTTAAGGTCGAGTTGCCGAAGGGAAAGTTGTTCCAAACTTGTCATTTTTACCTGTCAAACTCGGAAACAAGTTTTGTTTTGTTTCGCATCTCAAGAAAACCTACAATCCATTGCGAGATTGGCACTGTCAATTTATTTTTTCATTAATTTATTAAAATCAGTCACTTTTGAATCTCTGTTCGTCGCCATGAGAGTAGATTTAAAACGCGTTCTCCTAGAAAAGCATGAAATATCGCTATAGTGTATATAGACTTAAAAGTTTAGTTCCAATATTTCTCAAGATTACTGGCTTTTTATATTTAATAGTTTTTCTTCTTGTTTTACTAGTAAGGGACATAATATCTGTACATGTCAAATTATTTTACTAAAAGATGGAAAATCAAATTGCGCTATTTTAGCATGGCGTAAGTAATTACAGTTCTGCTCAATGTGTTTGTGGCGTCATATCACGTGAATTGATCCGGGACACTTCTTGTCAGCTCTCATCACCAGTTTCAAGGTGTTCTGGCAAAAGGCTATAAATAATGTGTTTTTTAGATGCTGTCCACCACTTTATAACCAAAAAAATATATATAAATAAATAAATATAGGAGATCCAGAAAGTATCCGGCAATTTTGAACGTTTCGAGAACCGGTTGCTCGGCTACGATGTTACTTAGAAACCAATCAGAAGTGAACCTAACTTCACATACGTGAACACTTCCCAAGGCGGGGAGTTCCCAGTCGGCAATTAAGACATTGAGTAAACCTGTGTATTGTATGACCGTCACATTCACAGCGAATATGTACCAACCAGGTTTTACTCGAAACTTAGATATTCAGAAACTATTTGAATTATTTTAAAAAAAGGCTTTCAAGGATGATTCAATAAAAGAATCTCTATCTATAAAAGGCAGTGTGTGTGTGTGTGTGACGAATGCACAGCCGCAATTTCCAACGGATTTCCACCAAAATTTGCATGCACATGCTCCAAGTTAGCGGGAAGGCCAAGACCGACTTTGCATTTTCCAACTCCCATCGTTAGCGGAAATAATCGATATTTTCATGCTTCTACGGCAGTTTTTATGTAGTTTGCGGCCATTTTCTACTGGCCAGAGTGAGAGCCAATAGCTGGCTGCCACGAATAGGCAGGAAGATTCTATTGGCCAGCGTGAGAGCCAACAGCTGACTGACACGAATGTTAACTAGCATGCTAACATGCAAAAAAAATTGATAGCTGCATTCGTCATAAGTGGGAAATATTTAAATCTGCATGGCACTTTACTCCAATTGGCTCATTCGCTTGCTTAAACTCAA